TTCGACATGAGTGAAACCCATTTGATTGCAATAAGTCACTAATTCACTTGTTATTTGACGAAAGTTTAATGGCCAATAGACATTACTTTTCCATGATTTTGGTTGAATTTCATAGATAGATAATGGTGATTTCAATGGATTAGTTTGAGCACGTTGTCTCATCCAATTTTGATCACCCCATTTATAAACTGTTTCATCATGAACAACTGATTGAGCACGTCGAGTTATGCAATTCGAGACAATAGAAAAACTTATTGGATCTGTTCGTAACATGTATTTTCCATGATAATCATTAATTAAGTAAAGATAAGTTTGACCAGGTGGAGCTTTATCTGTTACAATTTTCCATAGACCCTCATGATTTTTGATCATTTGCAATCGATATTTTTTTATACCATAGGTAGTTAATATAAGCCAAATACTTCTTGCATTAGGTGCATATAAACAAAAACTAGTCGTTTGGCTGTCATGATTATAATGTGCACCACGAGCTTCGTAAAGTTTTGGATGTGACATATGAAAGGTTTGTAAGTAGTAGACTTACTTGTTTTTGAATGAATTCGTAAACGTATGTAACATTTAAAATCTTACATAATTTTAGGAAAAGAAAAAATGATGTCATAAGAAAAAAACCAACATGTGAGTAAGCAGTATTGCTTTGTCGTTCTATAATATGACTAATGTGTCTATTCATAAGTCATTCAACGTCACTTACCACGTCTTTCAATTTGTATTTTCTCTTGTTTAAAGATGAGAATTATATGTATCTTATGTTGCAGTATTGAAATAATTAAAATGCTTTACACAAGATTATCAAACTAAAGCTTTTATCGTTTGTGGAACTTATTATTCTCGAAAGGGTGTGGAGTGGGTGTGGGTGGGTGTGGGTGTAGGTGTGGGTGTGGGTGTGGGTGTGGGTGTGGGTCTGGGTGTATGTGTAAGAAGGAATAGTTGACTCATATCTACAACCACACCCACACCCACCCCCCACCCCCCACCCCCACCCCCACACCCACCCCACACCCACCCCATCAGGAAACATGTAGAATTCCGTCATATATTTCTATATTTCTTGCTCCAAGTTCAACTATTATTTGCATGCATAAATTTTTTTTTTTATAAAAAAAGCTATTAGCACAACCCCTTGCGGGATTAAAACTGTGAAACACGATGGACCTATTGTTGCTAATCAAATGAACATCGTTTTGTCCCATTTGTTTTTACGATACACTTATAGTTTACCGTTTATTTGATGCTTCAAAACTACAGCGTCTCTGTAGCAGTCTGTGGTGGATATAGAGGT